TTCTTTAGCTTCAATATTAAGGCAATTCTATGTGGGGAACATTGCAAATTAGAAGCATCTTTTGGCTATTGTTTTGAGTGCTTATGATTGGATAAGAGCTTTTAATACAAAAGAAACTTTGTTTCAAAATAGAGTTTATCCACATTTTATTTCAAAAATGTGTTACCCACAGGTTAATACATAATCAGTGTGAAAACCAAGACATTCGTACATGGGGAACTCGCTATGCCGCAGAACAATAGAGAGTTCCCTAGTTCTTTAGCGCATTGTTACTTAAGATAGAAGGCCTGTAGTTTATGATTGGCTTTGGTCGGCTTTGGATATAGCCTAAATGGCTTGTGTATCATAACTTAAGTCACAATAAGCTTGATAAATTCGCGGTATTTTTCAAAAAGCCCATTCCGAAAACGGTCGACATCTTTTAATGTGGCTATACCGCGTGTGTACTTGTGAGTGATTTGAGCGTATTTTTTTTTTAAGAAGAAATACCATAAGTCCATATCGACGAAGAAGCTGATGCAATTAGCACTTGAAGCATGGGACGAGACAAGACAGGCTAGGAACGCCTGGCTAGTCTGGCCGCGATTTGGCGATGAATGCAAAAAATAAAGCCGAAATTAATACTCGGCGTTCCACAGGAACCCCGAGTAATTAGTGAGTTGAGAGTTTCTCAAGAATGTGACTCCAGTGGTCATTCTTAATCTTGTTCACAGTATCATGGGTTGTGAAAAGTAATTCTTTATCAAAACGTGGGCATCGAGTACTTGACAAAATCCATTAACATAATGGGGCTCGTGGTTTATCTGAACTATCAAGCAGACTCAGAATGCAAATCAGTTACATATGAGTCTGGATTATAGTGTAGCTGCGAACAGATATGAGATATTATATTCATAATATGTAGAGTCGCAGTTAGTTTCCCTTTGGTCGGGATTCTGTGGCGAATGAGACTAAGTCGTATTGAGAATGATTTGATTTAATATCTGCATGAATTGCATGAATTACTTTAAAGATAACATGACATCACAATCACGGTACTTTAATCTTCGTCTAAACGTTTGTACTTGCAAAACATTGGCTATCTAATACATTACTAAAATTATCGAGCTCATTTGATCTCATTTCGTCGTTTAGTAAAACCAGAGTACAACTGTATCTTGTTTAGCTTAGGTGCAATAACCGCATGTCTTTGCACAACCCGTTTTATAATTGCTCTTCCAGCATCTATCCCCATCGACGGCAGCCTTGCATGAAGAAGCGAAATATGTGTCGCGACATGCTAAAACAAATTAAAGAAACAAATTCATTAATAATCGTCAACAATTACCTGCTTTTTAAACAAATGACCGAGCTTTAGAGTGGACACAATGTTTATTCCTCAGATTCCTTCAAATGATTGTCTTTGGCGATTCCAATACTGTGGGTAAGGGACTGCGCAATAAACATCAGGAGGTAGGGGTTGAGTTATGACTTGAAAAAGAGGGGCCAACCGTTCAAGTTAATTTTTGATAAGTGTGAGGGGGACATCGTGAACTTTTCTACTCTTTTCACAAATTTCTCATAAAAATCCATAAAAATCATGATGGACACATAATACCTCGTTTGCTGAAATGAGGGCGTCTATGCGCATACTGCTCATCAAGCTGCTCATCAAGCTCTCTCTTCAAGTTGTCCCACAAATTGGCGGAGGTGATGGAGGTGGCAAAGGTTGCACACAGTATAAACACAATAAACACTACAACGATGTTGGATTTCATTCTTGTTTATTCTCTGAAACATGAATCAATGCAACTTGACAGACAATAGCAAAAGCAAAAATTAAAACCTATGTAGAAGAAACAAAACTGAGTATTTAAAAAACAACGCTATACACATCAAAGGCGGGGGAGGTTTTAAGTAATAAGAAGTTGTTTTAATTGAGGGATATGAAGCTGAACTGTAAGAAAGTAAAATTTGTAAAACAGCTAGCAAATCAGAAGTTATAGATGAAAAAGAATTACTAATTGTGAAAACACAGATTAAAACAATCAACCAGCAATCAAGCAAACAAGTCCTATTACCTTACCTATTGCCACTGTTACTGGGGTATTGTTTCCAGAATGTTATCGAGAAGAATGATTTGGTTTTCTACATGAAATGTTTTATAAAGAGTTCATGCATCGCACAGACATTTTCCAATTAACCAATCATATTGTTTTGGTAGAAAAAGTTAGCAATGCTGATTGGCTGAAAAGCCATCCTTTAATTGTTTGTCAATAAATTATTGACTTTGCGCGCGCTCCAAATTTCTCATTTTCCCTCCTTTTTGACAGTTTATAATTATTCAATAGCTATTTATGAACGATATTTTGTGACTGTTTTGAATTTACTTTGATGCCTTTTCAACATCCATTTACTATAGTTGCCACTTTGATTATGTCTTTTTTGTTATAATCACTGAAGTTTTTAGCTAAATTCAAACTCTCTTTTTACATTTTCGGAGATTAGAAAATCTGAAGTGAGCGTGTTACGCGCCATGGTCAAATGGTTCATAAATAGCAGCCAAACAGAGCCCGCGAATTTACTTAAGTATATTATCATATATTTTCCTAACTCAACACGTCTTCTAGTGGTTCACGTTATCGTTTATTGTTATTCCTAGATTTAACTTTGCCCAAGAAAATAAGAATCTCGATCTATTGCGACTTTTAAAAAAGAGAGGGGGTCGACCAAGAATAAAGTGAGTTCAATAACTCGTTATAAGACAAAAATTGAAGAGTAAGCTACTTGGTCAAGCGTTAAACACCCATAAGCGATGCCTTGTAATAAATTATCAACATTTACTGATGGCGGGAAACTATTCGGCCAATACACCCAACCGAACAATCACTTGAAAGATTGAATATAGGGGTCGCGAGATTTTTATGATAACACCTACATTTCATTTATTTACCATGCAACCTCTTTTACCTTTTTGGTTCAAACACTTTGGAACGCACCAACAATCTAGGATAAATATTAGATCGCACTTCTTAAAATCACTCAAGCGCAAGACTAATTATAGATTGTAATGTAAGGATACAATGAATTAATAGGCAGAATGCAATGTTTTTAGGGGATTGAATATCTGATTAAAAAAGTCAACGCTAGCTCAAAATATAAGACCTTATCCTAAGCACCCATCATGAATTCAGAGTATTCCAAAACTAGACAATCATGGTGATCGTGACATCGTGATGTATAGAGTATGGATCATAGAGTATGGATGCAAACAATCTCTGTACGTAGGAGTCATACTCGATTAAACACTGCTTCGTCTACGTTTGTATATGTTTAATTTCGGATCATTTGACCATCATCAAAAAAACATAAACATATACAAACGTAGACGAAGCAGTGTTTAATCGAATCTCAATATCGTTTAAAATATTGTAAATTCAAGAGAGTTTGGCCAATTATGGGAAAAGAACACTACATTGAACAAAACACAAATGCACAGTTACTATTAACTATGATTAAAATCAAAATATCATATCGAGTCTTACACAAATCATAATACAGAAATTAGGAACTTTGATTTAATATAAAAATTAGGTAAAACCTAATAGCGGAGCTCCCAAAAGATATGCAATGCATGTTGGATAAAAATGGGATGCAAGGCACATTTGTCAGACTACATGTGTTTTGTTAAGATTAATTTATTTTGGCAAACGAAAAACGTTCATGGCACTACCTAAATATTAAACTCTTTCTTCTTCAGCTTTGTCGGTGCAAAGTAGTGATATATATAGTATGTAAAGAAAACCACTCATTTTAAATTCTTGTAATGTTGTGTACATTCAAATAGTGCACAATTTATTATGAAGACACCATGTATAATGTTACATTAATCTTTCTATTAAAAACATCATTTAGTTTATTTACAAAATAAAATTTCCTTACTAGAGTGGGCATACTAAATCCGTGAAACAAATAGTACTAATTAATAATAAATAGTGTTAATTAGACAATAAAATACAAAGGAGTTCAGTGAT